CCAAAATACACAAAACACTCCTACAAATCAAAAGACATAAACAAAAAAGACCTGTACAAAGAATGGGGAGAATATGTGAATACATACTTTCCAAAGATGGCACCCACATGGCCAACAGACACAGAAAAAGTTGTTCAACATCACTAATCGTCGTCAAGAAAACCTATGTCAAAACCGCAATCAGCTATCATCTCACAACTGTAGGGACGACAATCATCCCAGAGACAGACACCAGGTGTGGTCAAGGGTGTGTAGACAAGGGGACCCTGTGCACTGTTGGTGGGAATGTAAACTGGTGCAGCCACTGTGACAAACAGTATGGAGTTTCCTGAAAAAATAAATACAACTATCACATGGCCCAGGAATGGCTCTACTGAGTGGATTTCTTTGGAGAACACAAAAACACTACCTCAAAAAGACAGATGCATGTTCACTGCAGCATTATTCACAGTAACCAGACATCGAAACAGAGACCTTGGGAGCATTATGCTAAGTAACTCAGACACAGAAAGACAAATACCAGGTGCTGTCATGGACATTCCACACGGAAACAAAAATACTGAACGCATAGATACTGAGAACAGATGGGTGGTTGCCAGGTTCGGGGATGGGGGGGCACGTGGGAAGGTGGTCAAAGGCACATGTTTGAGTGATAAAATGCGTAAGTCATGGAACGTTTTCTGCAGCATGGAGACTAAAGCTAACCCTGCAGGATGGGGTACAGGTCCCCCCGCTATTTGAAAGTACAGTGTTCCTAGGAAACCTTTCACAGCAGAAATGGTGTAAACCAAAGGAGGAATTACCATTCATTTATACAGAAAAAATAGTGAGCGTGCTCACACTCCAAAAATGACTTCTCTTTGGCTTTTCCTAGGCCTCAGGGCACAACTTCCTAAGGGATGCCCAAAATAAATGGAGATGAAACACAGCAGATGCTCACAGACACGATTCAAAGTGCTGAGGGCTGGACGCAGAGAGCGGTTCCCAGGAAGGAGCTGGTTGGGGTGCAGGCTGCCTCTGCAGTGGCTCCCCGCAAAACAGATGCTGAACGCGAGGCTCACTTTTCGACTTCTTTCATAAGACGGAAATCCTCTTCAGGTTTCTTCCTGTTACTGAAGCCGAGTAATGACGTAGATCTTTCAAAAAACCCAAATGTCTTACCATGAACTTTTAAAAAGTGGGGGATACTTGTACTTGAAAGTTGCTGAGGGAGGAGATGTTAAATGTTCTCCCGGACACACGCATCAGCAGATCCACCGTGAGAGGCACCTTCCTCAGCATGGGGAACACGGACTACCTCCTACCCCCAGAAACCTCCTCCTTCCCCTTCCTCAGGACAACAAACCACAGCTGGGAGTTACCCCAATTCCTCCTTTCTGCCACTCCCAATATCTAATCCATTGGCAAATCCTGTGAGCTCCATCTTCAAAATGTACTCAGAATAGGACTAACCACTTCTTCCGAGACCACCTGTCTGGCCCACACTGGAGCCCATCTCTTGCCTGACTTCCTGGAAAAGCTTCATCATGGACCTCCCTTGCCCATCCTCAACCCTCTGTCACCTGTTCTCAGCACTGTAGCCAGGAAGGCCCAGTGAAACAGGGTCCCATGGGGTCACAGCCCTGCAGTGACTTTCTGTCTCCCTCTGTCCCCTCCCTGAGGCCATGTCCTAAGCTGTCTCCTGTGGCCACAGGGCCTTCTTGCTGCTCCTGGACATACCTGGTATGCTCCTGCCCCAGGGCCTTTGCACACGCTTTCCCTTCCATTTAGAATGCGCTTGATGTGATATCACTCACCTTCTTTAGATCTTGACTCAAGGATCACCTTCCTAGTGAAGTCCCACCTGGCCCCTACGTGAATGGCAAGCACCACCCCCACCTCCCCTTCAGCATGCCAGCCCTGTCTCCTGCTCTATATTTCCACATATAGAACTTATCACAGTCACCAGTCCATCTCGGCAGGGCAGAAACGGAGGCCTACACGGATGCTTTCACCACGGACTACCTCCGATTTCCTGGTCCAAAGCCCTGGGGAAAAGGTGCCCCAGAGCTCTTGCACAGCCAGGATGCCCGGGACAAGGGGGTCCACCTACTGCACCCTGAACACCATCAGGAAAATGAGCCATACGAGGACTCCACCTGCCCATGAGACCTGAAACCAGACACTTTCCTCGATTACAGGTGAGCACACACACGTCCTCTCCTTGCCTGAGGTGCTCATCTGAGAAAGCTGAGCAGAGACCCATCCCAGGACCCAAATCTCCCTTTGCCCAAGGTCCTGGGAAACAAACATCTCTCCTCCCTGCACCAACCACCTGTGATTGAAGTCCGGAATCCTCCTGTGGTCAAGCAGAGTGGTGCACCTGTCCCTCTTTCCTGTGATGTCATCACAAACCAAGCTTTGCTGCACAGGACATCTGCTGTGCCTCCTCTGAGGAAGCAAGGGGCACACTGCACAAGAATCGATAATGCTGCGAGTGAGCTGCTTCCCACCAACCACCCTGCTGAGCCGAGGGCTCGAGAACCAAACAGGAAGCAACTCTCTTATCACATCTGCAGCAGGAGGGCTGGCCAGGGAGGAGAGCCCAGGCCCTATCCCTGGAGCAAGCTGGCCTGCCCATCGTGAGCGATTGTCCACCACCACGGCGTCACAACCTCCCACCTATCTGATCCGACTACCCTGCCAGGCTCAGACCTGCTCACACAGAGAGTCATAAGACCCAGCGACTTCTTTCCACTCCAGCTCAATGCTTCTCACGGAGAAGCAAACTCCAGCCTCACATATGTGCTCATCGTTACCTCTGGAATTCCCTGGGTGGTGTCTACACTGGCCCACACAGCTGTCCCATCCAGGCCACTCCACAAATGCCCTAGGGTTTCAGCCACTTCCAAGCTGCCCTTAGAAAGGCAGGAACTGGCCCGATGAGGCACACCAGCCAAGTGACTCCATGTGCTAGAAACTCGGACAACATCCTCGCTGAACACCAACGCTTCCGAGTCCGAGCTTCAAACATTCGCTCACTGGGCACTGAGCACCATGTCAACATCAACACTGCTCTTTCAATTCACTTGTCTCCCATTCCTTAAAGTCGGAAACCAAGCTCCAGTCACTGCTCTAGTTTCCCTTCAGAGAAATAAGGCAAATGAGAGAATAAAACACTATGTGTGCACAGCACACTTCTATCAAAATATAACTCCTTCGTCTTTCTCATACGGGCAGCCCTACATGACCCATACGAATGAGACATGCCACGAGTTGAGTCATTATATATATATCTGACCTTGTGTTTTTCCTTTTGATATTTGTATCTCGAAGTCAATGTCTATATTGCTCTCTTAAAATAATAATAATAATAATGACATGGTCACATAAGGGTCTGGATCTCCATAGCCACACACCCTGGCTCTGGTCCAGATAAGGAGGAAGACACAACCTCAGCCCAGGAAGCGAGGCCCACACCCTCAGGGATCCCGACACGCCTCACGGGTGATGGGTTCCTTTGCGACATGCAGTTGTCCGAGCACAGAGGATGCAGGCACCCTCCAGGATTCCTTGTTTTCTTCATAAATTCCCCAGCTCAAGTCGCAAGCGACTCACGGGGTCAAGCTTCCAGAGCCCAAGATGGGCCACCAGGTAAGCAGCCCCATTGGGAAGGCTAACAGGGGGCTCGATTTCCTTTGGGAGCACGACGAGACACTCCCCAAGCTCCTAAAGAACCTACACTCCTTCTCCATGTGTCCCTCTCACAAAGGGCACCGTACCCTGTTACAGATCTGCGGCTGTGTTTTACTTTAAAACATAATTTCTAATATCGGAATGTGGTACATGGAACAGGAAAACATGAACACTCACAAAGGATTCTTTTAATATCTTTGAAGATTGTTTTCCCATTGTTTAATTAAAATGGGAAATAAAAACACACAGATAGCCCCTTCCACTAGCAGGAATGATTCTCTTTGGTGATTGAAAAAAAAGCAGGATAAAAAAAAATTAAAAAAAAAAAAGTTGCTAAATAAAAAATTTTTTAAAAATTTTAAAAAAAGAAAAAAGAGCAGGAAATGAAAGAGTAACAGATGTTCTGACGACCCGTCATTTCCATAATCAAAGTTTTGAAACTTCACACACAAAGAAAGAAGCTCAAACAAACGTCTCGGCCTGGCAACTCTGAGACGTCTGAACTGGACTAACAGGGACAGATGATGAGGTTGTGTGTGTTGGGTGAGCCTGGTGGCAAAGAAGGTGCTCGGCCAGCTCTCCACCTGGGCCTCACCTGTCCTCAGCCAGGAACCTGCTCACGGCCCTCACCTGTCACAACTCTCACACGGGAGACCCACAGCCAGCCCTGGAGCCCGCCCTGCCCACACCCTCCTGCATAATGCACTCAGCTCTCCTCTGAGGCCCCTGTCAGCTTTACCCAGACCTGGAACTCCCCCATCTGCTGCAGAGCTCCAGGATTTCCCCTCTTCTTCCAAAATGACACTGGCCCAAAGGTAGAAGGCTACTTAATGAATGGTTCACACCTACTTGCCCCTTCTGTCGTATTTCTCTCCATTTACCTTCCTACCTGTGCAAACTGTAAGTAACATATCAATGGAATATGAACATGCTCTGAGATCGGATTCTTTCACTGCAACCTTCTGAGGACTCCTTGTATAATAAAATACCATATCCTATGACGGGGGGATTAAAACTATTATTTACAGAATAATTCAGCCCAAATCACCTCAATTTTAATGGCTCTTCATTAGGCAGAACAGTTTCTGTGGAAAAAGACTTTCCATAGAGGGGCGCCTGGGTGGCTCAGTCGTTAGGCGTCTGCCTTCGGCTCGGGTGGTGATCTTGGGGTCCTGGGATCGAGCCCTGCATCAGGCTCCCTGTTCAGCGGGGAGCCTGCTTCTCCCTCTCCCACCCCCCCGCCCCCGCTTGTGTTCCCACTCGCTATCTCTCTGTCAAATAAATAAATAAAATGTTTAAAAAAAAAGACTTTCCATAGACATTACCTTCCAGCAATTTCATAAGGAGTCAACGGAAGCTCTGTGGGATAACCTGACGCACCTAGGCTCAGGCAAGCAGTTCCAGAACTCAACCCAGTGCTCCTGACACCAGCATGCCTCCATCCAGAATTCCCAAACACTCTCCTTCTGACTCCACCACCAAAGAAACTACAGAGAAAATACAGCATGTCAAAATATCTAGAGGATACATTTAGAAAAACTAGAAACTCAGGCTCAACTTTTAAACAGTAAAAGCCTGCTTTGAATAATTTTGATTTTTCCCTTGACCCTAACTGTAACTCTTCTGATGAAAACACTAATCAATTATGAAACATCACCTTTGACAAATGACAAGACATCATCCGAATCTGTATCTGACGACAAAAAGCCACCTAACTCTAGATGCTGGCCGCTCAACCATATCCTAGGCCCAATTGAATAAACGCTATTAGATTGAGGAACAAAAGATATCTTAAAAACACACAAAGAGTAAATTTCACCTTCCCCTTCTAATAAAAGTTACTTCTAGGAAACAGATGATCAGAATATATTTTGTAAGCAATAAATGAACAGAGAAAATCGGATCCCCTGCAATGTTCTACCCGCAGGGAAAGTAACTCTTGAACCAAATGGAGAATGCTGAGAGCTACTTAAGTTTTACTTCGTAGCTCAACTAGAAAAAAGAGGAAAGCCCAGGAGGTTTGGGGTTAATCAGAAGTTTTACCTCCAGTCCTGACTTGAAGATGACATTGTGCCAAATGGACCTGCTGCTCTCTCTGAATGCTGACGTCCTGTGACGAGCAGCATCACTGACTCACATGCTGATGTTCAAAACTTCGGGTCTCATGGAGCCAGAGGGGAGAAGTGCTGTCAGGTGGGGATAAGTAGGACCTCCGACCTATGGCAAGCACACCTGCTTCGGTTTCTGGGAGAAGGGGAAACACATACTTGTTTTTTAAGTACTAATTATCTTCATTCTAAAGTAGACCAATGACTTTGACATTTTTGGAAACGCGAAATGACTCTTCCAAATCAACACCTCAACTCATCTGTTCCTCATGCAACTTGAGTAGGGTCTAGTTTACTCCAGCCTCCAGGCCCCCACCTGGAGGACCCTCCCGCACAATCCTGACAGCCCATTACCACCATACCCGGGGAACATGGGGCACAATGCTAAGTTGGAGGACGGCTCTGGGGCTTGTTACCGCCACACCTGTGCCTGGGGGAAGAGGGGACACCCTGCTGAACTCGGGGTGCTACTCAAGGTCCATTACCTGCACTCTGCCAGGGGACAGGGGGCACCCCACTGAACTTGGGGACTGTGTGCGGTCCTTACGTGCACTCTTCCAGGGGAACACGGGAAACCCTGAAATGTCCGCAACCCATCCCAAAAAAGCTCGGGTGAGCGGAGCCCTGGAGTTCACGGGGCTGGGGGATACGGCCCGTTGAAGGACTTTCAACGATTAGGAAACTCATCTGAGTTCGCGGGATTAGCTCGCTCCCCGCCTCCTTCGAGGACCCAACTCCCACCCGAGGTGCACCCTACCCCCGGGACCCCACCCCGGCCCACAGCGTGGTCTCACCCAGCCGGGAACTCTACAGGTGAACTCTCTGGGAGCTGGCCTTCTGCCCCACCTCTGCATCCGGGGCCGCTCCGGGTCCTCCCTCAGAGAGGTAACTCCACCCCCACGCGGTGATTGGTCGGGGAGGGTGGTGCCCCGAGCCCATTGGATGCCGCGCCTGCCTCTACCGGCCAACCCGCCCTCAGTCCCGCGGCTCCCTATGACGGCAGGTGGTCCAGGAGGCCCGTCCTCACGCCAACACCTGGCTCGGCGGCGCAGGCGTGGGCGGGGGCTATGGGCGGGGTCCGCCCCCCCACACACACCCGGCCCATTCCGCGGCCGCCTCTGGCTGCAGACCACCCCCAGAGCCCTGCCCCTTCCCTTCCTGCACCAACCCCTGCCTGCAGAGCTGTTCCCGGCTCCCGGCAAGATCAGCTGCGCTCGGACCTTCTGAGGCTTTGGGCTTTAGGAAATGCAATGGTTTCACGCATTTCCAAGGCAGTTTTAAACCCAAAAACTAATGCTCTAAACGTGAAGAGCTTCGCCTTCTGGCCTCACCCATGGACTGGATAGTGCTTCTTGGACCTTCAAAGCATCCCTGTAGGATGAGCCCGTTTATGCTAGAATATATATACATATGCTTGGTTCTGCAGGGAAGCTCCAGGATGAAGAACAGCCACCCTTCTCTGCTGTTGGAGTTGTGAACGAGGAACATTTATTTTTCACTTAAAAAGAAAACATATTGTTATTCTCGACACTGAATGAACAAACCCTTTTACACACTTTAGGGAAAAAGGAAGGGAGTTTTATTCAAACCCAAGTCAGGACAGCTGCCTGGGAGACACAATCTTCACAAAAAAGGGAGTGCTCCGGGGAAGGAACATTTGAGGCAGGTTTATATATTTGTTCTGTGTTGATTTACATACAGAGTTACATATCATCATGAGGAAGAACATTCAAGAAAGTGACAGACTTTCTCTTACGTTTTCAGTTTGTACAAGTTGGTATGACTCTAATCTTATGGAAGCCAGAGAGGTTCTTTTGTTTTTCTTATCTTTATGTTTGCAATGGCATTTTGGGGTTATCTTTTTCTTCTCAAACCAGATGTACAATATGTGCTTGGGACAGAAATAGGACCCATACTCTGAGGCTTTGCCCAGTCATTTTGACCTTGGTAAAATGTTAAAGGATAGCTTCTCTGGGAGCCCAGGATCCAGGCCCACGGATGGTAAAAGATAAAAATTTCCATTATCATTAGAATTGCTACTAAAGGGAGGAACTTGAGACAAAAGTACCTTTAACAATAGTGCCAAAAAATCAAAATGATGCCTAGAGAAGTTCACCTGTCCCACGTCAACACAGGTAACAGAGGTGTTCACAGATGCTGGGCTCCTCCCCTTCTCCTGCCCAAATCTCTGAAGCACACAGATAATTTAAAGTCAGAATTTTAGAACTCCTAGACATCTCAGTGATGTCTGGCACCATTCCCTTGGACTATAGAATAAAAAAGAGTAGCTCATTTTCACAACACTAATGGAAACATGAAGTGCCCCTAAAGCTTGCATACACTGTCTCAGTTCTTTCCTTGCAGATTTTGACTAATGTTAAGTCATAGTCATACCATATAAACACTACGATGGTTGGGAAGTAAGTAATCATAGCTAAGGGACTATTTTAGCAATGTTTATAAGCACTGTCTCACTTTGTAGAAGAGGCTGAGCTGAGTGTTTTTAAATACTATTTCAGACTTGTCTTACAGCACACTCTGAACATACTAGAGGCTGAATCAATTAAAAAAAAAGACAGTTCTTTCAGTAACTTGAAGATCTCAAGCAGATTATAATGTCTCTATTCCTAGAGATCTTGGAGTACCTTACTCAAAGGTCCTCCACTGATCATGATGGGCATAGTTTAAAAGGCCAGCTGAATTCATTCCAGTTGGCCACACAAGAAAATCCTGGTACTTGATATGTTTCCAGATGGAGAAGACCAGAGATAACAGGGAAAGAGTTCCGTGTATGGAATAACAAGGGATTTGGAGTCAGTTTGGAGATCCCACTTAGGTCTCTGACACTAAAATCCTCCGTGACTCGTATCGTCTCTGAGCCCCCGTCTAACCATCTAGAAAATGTGACTAAAAATACCTACATCATAGTTTAGAAGTTTAAGAGGGAGAATTCCACAAAGAGCAGTGTGATGGAGCTCAAGGGCAGGTGCTCAGAAACCATAATTACTATTTGGATCTATTTCTTTTCCAGAAAAAAGGACACATGTTGAAACCATATTTCTGATAGATGACTCACAAGATGATTTTCAAACCTTAAGGAAGGTCAAGAAGCTGCTATTGTGTCATGTTTCACTCAGAAATCATCTTGTTGGACTGGTGAGGACAATACAATAGCACCATCGTCACTAGGAGTGGGGAGCTTCCCATTTCCATATGGCTATGTTGTCCTCCTTAGCTCAGGGCTACCAGAAAGGGCAGCTGGGGGCGACCACATGCCAAGGCTGCCAGGTGTGGCTGAGGCAGGCAGAACTCGGACTTAAGGCTCAACTCCTGTCTACCTTATTTATAGTGCTCTTCACGGATAGAATGCCATTGTCTGTGAGCTCTGATGTAGGAAAGATCGAGACTTTCCATTGTGATTCCCTCTCTGACCCTTAGGATATGTAGCAAATTTACATTTAAGTTTTAAGCATTGAGTGACTTCCTGCTTTTCTTTTCATTATGACTATGGCTCGATTCCCTGTAGTCTAAGAATATAACCTAGTTAATTTCAGGCTTTTAAAATGTGTAGACTTGATTCATGGCCCAACATATCGTCTATTTGGATAAATATTCTAGCACCACTTGAAAATAATGTATTCTGCACTTACTCTGTAATGTTCCATATATGTCAATTAGGTCACATGTCTTACCAATGTTTTGTCTGCTTTTTCTATCAGATATTGAGAAAGGTATATTAAAATCTTCAAGCAATGCTACTCTGGTCAACATTCCATTGGAGAATCTCCCAAGTGTTATAAGCCAAGAGAAACAAAAAGAATAAGAAGCGAGGAGATCATTGTGACTATTTACAGATAATATGATGGTATACATAGAAAATCCAAAGTATTCTATAAATACACTATTAGAATTAAAAATGGAAAACTTGCAAATCTTAGAACCAAGGAAGCAATCCAGAAAGCAGCCAGGGGGAACAGATTTCTTATGTACGGAGGGAGGAACATCAGAATAACGTCAGACCTGTCCATAGGGACTTTGCAGGCGAAAAAGAGCCGGAAAGACATATTCACAGTACTAAATGAGAACATGCAGCCAAGGATACATAACCAGGGAAATGTTGCAAAAGAAAACCAAACCTGGGGGCATCACAATGCCTGACGTCAATCTATATTGCAAATCTGTGACGGGATGGTATTGGCACAAAAACACATAGATCAATGGAACAGAATAAAGACCTCAGAAATGGACCCTCAACTCTATGGTCCACCAATCTTTGACAGATCAAGAATGAATGTCCAATGGAAAAAAGACAGTCTCTCCAATAAATGGTGCTGGGAAAATGGACAGCCACATGCAGAAGATTGAAACTCGACCATTCTCTAACATCATGGACAAAGATAAACTCAAAATGGATAAAAGACCTCAATGTGAGACAGGAGTCCATCAAAATCCTAGAGGAGAACAGAGGCAGTCACCTCTTTGACATCGGCCACAGCAACTTCTTTCAAGACATGTCTGTAAAGGCAAGGGAAACAAAGGCAAAAATGAACTTTTGGGACTTCATCAAGATAAAAAGCTTCTGCACAGCAAACGAAACAGTCAACAAAACTAAGAGGCAACCCATGGAATGGGAGAAGATATTTGCAAATGACATTACAGATGAAGGGCTGGTACCCAAGATCTAGAAAGAACTTCTCAAACTCAACACCCAAAAAAAAAATAATACTAATAATAATAACCCAATCAAGAAATGGGCAGAAGACATTAACAGACATTTCTCCAAAAAAGACATAAAAATGACTAACGTTTAACATCACTAGCCATCAGGGAAATTCAAATCAAAACCACAACGAGATACCACCTCACACTGGTCAGAATGGCTAAAATGAACAAGTCAGGAAATGACAGATGTTCTGAGGATGTGGAGAAAGGGGAACCCTCTTTACACTGTTGGTGGGAATGCAAGCTGGTACAGCCACTCTGGAAAACAGTATGGAGGTTCCTCAAGATGTTAAAAATAGAACTACACTACTACCTGACAATTGCACTACCGGGTATTTACCCCAAAGACACAGACGTAGTGAAAAGAAGGGGTACCTGAACCCCAATGTTCATAGCAACAATGTCTGCAATAGCCAAACTGGGGAAGGAGCTCAGATGCCCTTCAACAGATGAATGGATAAAGATGTGGTCCAAATATACAAGGGATTACTCAGCCATCAGAAAGGATAAATACCTACAATTTGCATTGACGTGGATGGAACTGGAGGGGATTAGGCTAAGTGAAATAAGTCAAGCAGAGAAAGACAGTTACCATATGGTTTCACTCATATGTGGAACATAAGGAATAGCATGGAGGACCGTAGCGGAAGAGAAGGAAAACTGAATGGGAAGAAATCAGAGAGGGAGACAAACCATGAGAGACTCTGGACTCCGGGAACCTAACTGAGGGTTACAGAAGGGAGGGGGTGGGGGAATGGGGTATCTGGGTGATAGGTATTAAGAAGGTCACATATTGTGACGAGCACTGGGTGTTATATGCAAATAATGAGTCATTTAACAATACATCAAAAAATAAAGATGTACTATATGTTGGCTAATTGAGCATAATTAAATAAGTAAATAAATAAATATGCTTTCTACATGAAAAACAAATAATGGGTACAGAATTTCAGATTTGCAAATGAAATGTTCTCAAGATATGCATCACAGCAGTATAAATATACTTAACACTACCGGACTTTATACTGAAAATATTAAAATGGCAAAATCAATGTTATGAT